TTTTTTTTAAAAAAAATGTCATTGTCAATTTTAATTGGGTTTGGGTTATTCTATTTAATTTTTTTTAAACTTTTGTATTATGTGTTTCTTTTAATGTTGTACGTCGCCCTGAGTCCTTGGGAGAAGGGCGGCATATAAATCTAATAAACCTAAGCCTAATTTCAGTATTTTTAATTAATTTAAATATATAATTGATTCTGGATGATTTATGCTAAGAACATTTTACTAAACTAATATATAATAATATAATGCATAGCATTGTATCATAAAATAAAATCCAATTTTCCAAGTTTTAAAGTCTCCATCAGATCTAGTTCTTATACACTTTTCTGCTTTTGGTTCAAAGTTATTTCCATATTGTGCATTTAACATCAAAAGTGTTAAACTGTTCTTATTATTAAGTCTTACCCTCTAACTAAATGAGGCAAAGTTAACCATTTCCTATCAATTCTATTTCTGTTTATCGAGAAACAGAAGTTCATTTTTCAAATAACTGGTATTCATAATTAGTGGTGAGGGACAGGAGACTTACCTTGAAAGAATTTGTAATAAAACAATTCAATAAAAATTAATGTGCCTGATTAATTGGGACATTTTTTTTTTAATTCTTTCCACGCCAGTGGAATATTGGAACTCTGCCTTTTAAGATAAGCTTCCAAAAACTGAACAGAACATGTTCAATTTTGGTGTGGTGGGAGAAACTAGCCACACACACACACACACAAAAAGACTAGGTTTGAAAATGGAGGAAAACATTTCAGAAAAAAAAATATCTCAGGTATTTTAGGAGAGGCAGTTGGACAATTATTCAGAATGCTCAGCTCCATTCTAAACCGTGACTCTGGTCACATGACAGAATGGAACATGTGCAGCCTGCTTCATACTTCCCAATGCATATATTCATACATATTAACACATGGAGACAATCACAAGGGTAAGACAATACAGAGTCACACAACAGATTACTTCATTATACTAAATAAACAGACAGGTCCTATGGCCAGTGCTGGTGAAGGAGCTGTAGAGTATTTCAGAAGTCAGACCCTGCATGGTCCCTTAATTAAGACTTCCTGTACAGTGGTGGGTTTCAAAAACTTTTGGAACCTACTCTGTGGGTGTGGCCTCCTTTGTGGGAGTGGCTTGCCGGCCATGTGACCTGGTGGGAGTGGCTTGCCGGCCATGTGTTCTCTCTCTCTCTCTCTTTCCTTTTGTCTCTCTGTCCCTTTTTTCTTTTATCTCTCACTTTTTTCTTTTATTTATTTATTTATTTATTTATTTA